CCTGTAAAATACATCCGTAAATTAAATTAATTTGCACGTAATTCGCACAGTTGTTCGAATCTTAAGTTAATAAGGTCTTTGCTAGCACGCTTCTAGTACATGGTGCCTCACCATGAGACAGGCTCCGAATTGCAATGGGGCAGGGGGAGGGGCGGGGGGGTTGTATGTGAATTGTCGGTAGGAGAGGAGGAGGTCCTGGCAACGTTGATGGAACGCTGCCCCTGCCTCTGTACCATTGGAAGCGGTTCCCCGATGAGTTGCGAATTTATAACAAATCGACTTAGTTATTCTAAAAGAAATTGCAACTCTTGTTGTTCGGAGAGCGGCCGCCCCGCTAGCCCTCCACCACGAGCTAGAAACGGCACCCTGCCGTAGCTAGAAACGGCACCCTGCGGCTACATGCTGCAAATCGCAACCGACCGTGCCCTATAATTCGCACGGGACAGAGCCAGCGCTCCGCCAGACGGAGCAGTATGCTCGACCATACTGCTGTGCGGAGTGCGCAAAGCACGTACTGTCCGCTCAGCCTCATGGCAGCACAGAACTGCCCGACGGTTCCATCCTCCAGGAAGGAGAGAAGGCGCGCCGACTGACTGCTGGCAGTCTTTATATAGGCTCCACTGGGGCGACATGCGGTCTTCATATAGGCTCCACTCAACGCGACATGCGGCGTACTCGTCGCGGATGTGGCTGGGTAGCGTACGCCCAGGCACGGCGCTCCGGTAACCATAGTCGCGGAACGCGACAACAACCTAATTACGTCTAATGAGAAGAAACCCCTCAGTTGGCTTAGGAAGTTGTTGGTACAGAAAGCTGTTGGTCCACCCTAAGTCCATGTTCCATAAATGCATATTTCTGTAAAGGTCAGTGCGATTCTGAAGGGGGGGGGGGGTGGGTTGAGCGGGAGCGGGCGTAATCCATAGATTGAGTTGCTTACCGCCTCTGCGCTTTAATTCAATTCACCTCAAGTGAAAGAGGTGCACCGAGAGGACTACTTCCTTGGTGGAAATGTGCTCAGGTAAGCGGACCCTCTCGTTGCAATTGAGGCAGGCAGCACAAAATGAGCAGATGCGGAAGCCTCGTTCAGTCACGGGGAATTGTTTTGCCTTTCCCCTTCTTTCCTCTGCTTTTTTTCCTTTTTCAAGTCACTGACCTACCCCTATTTTCATTTTTGAACTCTTTTAAAAAACACCAGCAAATGCGGGGCCGGAGGGAGGCAGTTTGGTGACGGGCCTTTTGCACTCTTGCCACATACCTCCCATCGACGTGTCGACCCATCTAGACAGCCTCTTCTCGAGTTGACAGGTTTTACCATGATGGCTTGACGAGCTTGCTCCAGCTTCACAAGAGTTCACAGGTTTCACCAGAGACTAGTAAAGTGGGACTAGAAAACAGCGAAATTACAAAACGCTCCGTCACCCTCGCCGAACTGCACCAAGGGTTGGTCTTCGAAGCGATTTGGTTAACGTATGAACTTGCCTAGAACCAGTTGTAACCTCCTTTTTTCTGTTCAGAGAATCGTCTACAGTGGTGTTACATTCGCACTTTCTTCCATCTTGTTAACGGGTCAAAATGACGCCTTCACATTGAGTCTCAATGCCCGCTGTAAGGATTTTCGAATGTCAACAGTGACGCGATTTATTGGACCATTGGTTATAATACTGCAGATTCTGGTCCATATTTTAATGCAGATTCTGGCTCATACATCTTTAATGTCCTCATGGAGTTCCTCACCCGATTTCGCACACCTGTTGGATTTTTGCTGCGAGAGGTTCGTTTTCAGTTCTAAGAAAGATTGGATACCGAGAGAGTTATCATTAGCCAAGTAATACTTTGAGCTTCCTAAGGCTGCGTTTATTCTTTGTAGCAACGTCCACCAGCATTCGCGTCCTGCAGCGTCAGCAACTAGGGAAGTATAGATATCTATCTAACAGCGTCTGCCAGCACCTCCCAGCGTCCGCCAGCGACCAGCAACCATCACCAACGCGTCTTGAGGGCTAGGGAAGTATAGGTATTGATCTAGCCTCTGTCAGCGCCCAGCAGCGTCTCGAGGGCCAGGAAAGTGTAGGATTGGGTTAACAACCAGCAGCTCTTCTACCGTCCACCAACGACAAGCAGCGTCCGCGAGTGGAAGGTATGGGGCGCTAGGCGGGTAGCAGACAGCTGGTA